GCACAACCGGGGAGAAGTCTACTGTGGAGGAAAAGGAGGGGCAGAGGGGAAGGGAAGTGAGACGGACGCAGGAAGAAACGGTAAGAAGCAGCACGTGTGGGTCTTTGGAGGGAAGTCAAGAGACGATAAAGTCGGTAGAGCGGAGGGGGGTAGGTCTTACCTCGTTGCCTTCGCACCCGGCCCGCCCTCTTCCCTCCTTCCCGCCCTCCCCTTGCCAGGCCCTTGCTGCCCCGGGAGCCGAGGTAAGTGAGAACGTCGAGAGAGAGGGAGGGGTAGGGGAGGAAGAGGAGGAGGAGGAGGAGGAGATTGAGATACCTTTGTCATGGAGCCTCGCGAGCTCCACCGCTTCTTTTGACATGGCGAATGACTGCATGGAGTCTTCATCCACTTCTTCTGTCTCTGGTATTTCCTTGCGATGTGCGGTGGGGAGGGGGCAATTCGTGGGCGAGGAAGGAGGCAAGAGCGGGGTTCAGGAGGGAGTCAAAGACAAGGTCCCATGGCCATGGGTGGGGGAGCCGAAGGGACAAGGAAGACATGGTCAGAATGACGGGCTCTTGGAGAGGGTGGGAGGTGCGAAAAGCGGATTTGTTTGCAGTGAGAATGAGGTACAAGGAAGGGGGAGAGGTACAGAAGGCTTGTTGCAGGGGCCGGACACCGAAGAGAGAGGAAAGAACGGGGCGGAAACCGAGGAAGCGGTGGAGGGGAGGCAGGGGGGCGGATCTTTCTTGGCTCAAGTGGAGACAACAGAGTGGATACTATGAGGATGAATGAGAGATGAGAGTAGGCGGGTAGTGATGTAAGTGGATGTATAGAGGTGGTTGGGAGGATGTAGCACAAAGCCGTAGTGTGCGTATAAGACATTTAAACTACACGAAGCGGTAATGTTGGTCAGTAAAACATGTAAAGAAATAAGGTTGAATATGTTTTCAGACCGAGCCGTCCATGGGAGAAAAGTGAGGTGGGAGCTGAGTCCATTCTACGCTTCCGCGTTCAGGGACGAGCAGCACTCAATGCCCTGCAGAAAGCAACAATTCTCTGCCTCCTGTGCATTCTTTCCCTTGATCAAAATTCGCATCGAGGCCCTCCACATCCCTTTGCCCCCAGCTGCCCGGCGTCGCGACATCTTTTGCATGGATGTTTAGGCTATCGTCACGGTTCTCCCACCGAACCCCTACTGTGGATTAACCCTCCTCGTCAAGTCCTTGAGTCGTGCCCCCCCCCCC